TCCCTCAAGTGACATTAGCAGGAAGCTTCCAGCAAGTGACACAATGCTGTAATGCTTTGGCAGTTACAGTTGGCGGTGTCTTAAGTGCAGTTGCAAGAGGATAAACACCAAGAACTTAAGGAAACTTAGAGCAGTATGTTGGCCTCAAGCCATTAACACAGCAGGAGCCACAGAGTAAGCTTTCCATAAATGGTAGACCCTCCCACCCCCGGGAAGGGGTAGACCTTATTACTTCATTTTGAAATGCACTGACTTTACTAAGAAATATGGTAATGCCTGTCCTCCCTGATCCTGTTTGTTAAGTATTGCCAAAGATTCACTGCTCTAAAATTAAAGTTATTATTTTAGTAGCTAGTTCTCAACTTATAGCCTGCTTAGCATATTGGTTCTATGACTCCGTCCTTTGCTGAATTACCTTGGGATGCATTAGGAAGTAAAAGGACTCAAAGCTAGGGCAATCTGTGGGCATGAAAACTTCGGGGAGATTCTATCTGGTGGACTGTTTATACTTGTCTCACAAAACTGGTTGTACTAAAATTATTTCATTCACGCCTCATAGAATAGGAACTTGAGCCCTGATCAGGAACTCACTCATCTGCACGGAAGAATTGTTTCTGTGCTGAGAATTCTGGCTTTTCAGCAGAGCCCTGGGTGGTCGGGGGTAACAAGGTTCATCTCAGGAAAGGCAGGGCCCCGCAGCTTTGTATGCCACTCCTCATTGCAATCTCATTTGTCACAAAAGCCTGGCTGTCCTTTACAAGGTGTGTGTGTGTGTGTGTGTGTGTGTGTGTGTGTGTGTGCATGCGTGCGTGCGAGTGCGCGTGTGTGTTCATCTGGCAGCATGGCCTAGCTACTCTGGCTCCATCTGTAGCTCTCTGCCCCTCCTTGATGATCCAGTCCTGAGGAAGACAGCGGTGTTTACGACAGTTTTGTGTGAACCAGCTTATCCTATCTCTTTTGAACTGCATTGGCCAAACTGTTGGTTTTTTTTTTTTTAATCAATCAGTTGTCAAGATAAGAAATGCTGGTGTGAAATTTGTCACTGAGCCTATGAGGAAGGATAAAATTCAAAGATACCACATCTCACGGTAGTCTCAGAGTGAAAATTCCTGGCTCATCTTAGAGTAAGGACGTTTGAACATCCTTACATGTCCTATTTGAGTTGTTTGTTATCCCCACGCTTATGGTAAATGGACTAGGTGTATAGCTCAGTATCTGAGTAATTGTTACCTTATCCTCACTTCCTTCACTTTATTTTCCCCTTTGTGTTTCTTCTCTTTCTAGTAGTAATTTTCTTTGTTCCATTTTAACATTATTCTTAGAAGTCATTCTTAAATTTTTTCTTATGTAAAATAATAGTTTAAAAACAAGTTAGGAAGGGCTGATGCATTTCCTGCAGCCATAATTTGTAAACCATTTAAAAATTTCTGAGCTGGGGCTGGGAAGGTGGCTCAGTGGTAAAGCACTTGCCTTGCATGCCTGAGGCCCTGGGTTCGATTCCTCAGCACCACATAAGCAAAAAGAAAAAAGCTGGAAGTGGCGCCGTGGCTCAAGTGGTAGAGCGCTAGCCTTGAGCTGAAGAGCTGAGGGACAGCGCCCAGGCCCAGAGTTCAGGCCCCCCGACCGGACCCCCCTCTCCCGCCAAAAAGATTTCTGATCTGGGCACTAGTGGCTCATGCCTATAATCCTAGCTACTCAGTGGGCTGAGATATAAGGATCGCAGTTTGAAGTCAGCCTGGGCAAACAATTCCCAGAGGCTCTTATCTATAATTAACTGGCCAAAAGCCAGAAGTGGAGTTGTGACTCAAGTGGTAGATTGCCAGCCTTGAGTGAAGAAAGCTAAAGGATAGCCCAAGGCCCTGAGCTCGAGCTTTAATGCCTACACAAAAAGAAAAAAAAATTAATTTCCAATGAACCAGATCCCTCCACTCACCCATCAGTTCAGATTCAAGAGCTAATATCAATGCATAAACTCAAATCTTTCTGGCAATTATTCTATGTTCAGAATTTTGACCCAAGATCTGCCTCTTTGTGGTTCTACCATGCCCTCCCTCCTCCGTCTCACTTAGGTCCAGGGAAAAGGAAAATCTTTCTACTTTTCATTTATTTATAAAACATTTTGGGCTCTAAAAACTAAAAGACAGCAAAAATTCATCTATCTATCTATCTATCTATCTATCTATCTATCTATCTATCTATCTATCTATCTATCTATCTATCTATCTATCTATCTATCTACCTATCTATCCTTACAGCTTATTTTGCTTTTGTGTTGATTCTTTCATTTCTTTCTTGAAACAGCCTTTCGGGTAGGTATTGGTAAGGCTGATCTTACCACACCCTTGCTTTTCCGAAGGGTGATTTACTAGCCTAAGGTCATATTATTTATTAAGTAATAGAGCCGGTAATTGGTATTCTGAAGGCAAGTGCAATACACTTTCTTCATATTCTTTGATTCTTGCAACTTGTAGAGTCTGACAAATGGCAGCATTCCTGATGAGTATTTTTGAAGGTGAAGTTCCGAGGTAGCAGACTTTTTCTGACACATGCCAGTTTCACCTTTCGTTGTACTGTGGAGTTGGAGCAGTGGCAGCTTCTCGGTCCTGCTGTTTCTGCAGGCATTTGAAACCTGAAGAAAGTTTTGATAAGATCTTGGCCACTCCAGAACCCACGATTCTCTGTGAAAACTGATCATTTGATGTCTGACACAGAAATTGGGTCTGGGAGTTGAGGGTGAATTGGAGTGAGATTGAAAAATGTGGTGTAGGTTCATTTAGGGTTTGGTACTGATGGGTTTTGTGAGCATGGTGTGTGTGTTTGTGTGTGTGTGTGTGAGAGAGAGAGAGAATTCATGTATGTGCATGTGCACATACATGCTGTGGAAGACTGTGAAGTTACCTCATCTATCCACTGGGAGAAATAATTCTCATTCAGTAACAAATTTAAGATCTCATTTACATTTCAGTTTCATACTAGCCCCATAATGGAAAAAGCCAGGTGCCGGTGGCTCATACCTATAATCCTAACTACCCAGGAGGCAGAGATCTGAGGATCCCAGTTTGAATGAAGCCAGACCTGGGAGACAAATGGAAGAAATTCTTATGTCCACTTAAGTAGGAGAAAGCTGTAAGTGGAGGTGAGGCTCAAGAAGTAGAATACGAGCCTTGAGCTAAAAAGCTAAGGGAAGAGTATGAGGCCCTAGGTTTAATTCCCAGTACTGGCATAGAAAAATCCCAAACTGAACACACAAACTGAAAAACAAGAGTAGAAATAATACAATAGCTTACATTTAATAAAATGGATCATAGGGTAGACAGGCAGCACAGTTTTTAATATAGGTGCTCATACACATTACAACCTAATGGTTTAGGAGCCATCGTTTCTTTCTTCACCCCACCTTTTTGTGTGTGTGTGATGAGGCTCGAACTCAGGGCCTGAATACTGTCCCTTAGTTTTTCTGCTGAAGACGAGTTCTACCACTTGGGTCCTACCTCTACCTCTGGCATTTTAGTGATTCATTGGAGATCAGAGGCTCTTGGAATTTTCAGGCTGTCTTTGGACCCTGATCTTCTTAGCCTCCTTAGTAGCTTAGATTACAGTCGTGAGCCACTGGCTCCCAGCTGATTTTCCCTAGAAAATCAGGAGCAGACTAACATTAGTTTGCCTCAATCATTCTGCAAGTAAAAATTTGACTTGTAAAGCCAAGATCTGGCCAACATTTGTCAAGATTTGTAGCATGATTTTAGGTTCAAACGCTCAGTCTTTGGCGCCTTGCTGTCTTCTGGTAAAATCCAGTTACTGGCAGCTCTTGGAGAAAATCCAGAGTACCCATGTTTCTGGATGCTCCATTCATAAGGCCACGGGGCGATCCACCTGCTCCAAGCAAAATGAGGACTTGATACCTTCACACTAAAGAACAACCCTGGCTCTTTATTAATCCCCTTTATCTATCAGCTCCACAGCCAGGGTAGTAGGAAGTTCTTTTCTATCCAAAATGAGGGAAAATTATACTATATTTATTCAATGGTGTTTTCCTTTGTGTTTTAAAAGTAATACTCTTAAACTTTAACCTTTTTCCTCCTCTGTTGCTTTTGTTCAGGGCCTAGAATAATTTAGATAGAAAAAATGTTAATTCTAATAGTTTGGGTTTGTTTTTGAAGTCTAAAATCTGCACTCTCAGCCTCGGGGATGCAGGTGGAGGACAGCCACACACTGGCCCCCTCTGCCAGCGAGTAGCTAGCCCGCAAATTATTGGCAGCTGGCACCGTAATGAGTCCATTTCAATATAAATGGGCTGTTGCTTATTAATTTCTGCCAGTTCCTAAGCAATTCAGGAACTGCTTTGGAGATTCGGAAATTTAGGGAGAGTAATTGGGGAAGGAGGGTGCCCAGGCCAAGGGAGTAAACAGTATAGCTGTGGGGGTGATCATGGAAAGGGCATGTATTGTGGGGAAATAACGGGGTATTGCTAGATTCGTCACTCCTTCCCCTGAAAGCATGACTCACTGGCTTCAAGGTTACATAGTAGTATATTTTCCAAGTTAAGGAGGAACCGGAAGTTAACTTCTTGCTCTGGATGGATGGATGTGAGCTTGGGCTAGTCCCTTCATTATTTTTAAACTGTCATTTTCTTCAACCACCATTATAAATGCAGCTCATTGGGAATAATTCATAGTCCCTCATTTCGTTCCCTTCTCTTGGAGGCCGTTTGAGGATCAAGAGAGGACAGTGGAAGCAACCCTCTGTTTTGGCTTAATTTTCTGAGCCAGATGAAAATGATCATGACACTTTTTAGAGTTATTTATGACCATCAGTGTACATTTGCTGATATTTACTCATCTATTGAAGGAAAGCTGCCAATCTATAATCATGGCTAAATATTGCAGCTTTCAAATTGGGGCTTTGATTTGACACAGTGGTAATGTTGGGGAATCAGTGAACATGCCTTTCTTCTGGCTGACCATTTGTTTTTCTGTCTCCTTTGATCCTCTCTTCTCTAGATTTCTGGCACATTCTCCCAAACTCAGGTGAGCCGCTGATGGCCACCCCACTGGCAGGTGCTGACTACTCTCCAAGCCCAGCCCCCGACGCCATCGCTAACCCCAGAATCTAAATGCCACAGTGTTCTTGGGGCCAGTCAAGCTGGGGACCACTGTTGCCTTTTAAGGTAAGTTTGTACCTATAGATTTGAGCCTGAAATTAATTGAACTGCGTTAAAGATGGAGATCAAGTCTATTTTACTATCATTGGAATTGCTCTGGCTGTGTAGAGCTCCTGGGAAAAAAGAATTTGGAATCCCTTCCTTGCATTAAGGTCACACCCATCTGATAATTTAAAAGTGTTAGTGGGAAAAGACCAGGTAGGCACCTATGAAATCTTTTCTCTCCCTGTGAATTGCCCTAGGGATCTTTTATCTCTTGGGTGTAATTGTCTGAATATTGGATTGCGTTTGAAAAAAGACAAACCTAGGTTCTAAATCCCACCTCAAACAATTATTTATTTTGTGTCTGCTTTGGCTTCATCTTTACAAAGCAAAAAATAAACACAGTCAAAATAATAATCTTTTTCTAAACCACAGATGATCTTTGATGGGTTGCTGAACATCCTTGTTTAGCCTCGTGGGTGAAGGATGTTTGTGTGACACTTGGTAACATTTTTTTCATGGGTTCGAAAAGGATTTAGCAAAAACTTTGAGAACTTCGTGGCAGTTTAATCTTAGCTTCCCCCTACCCCTCTCCCCTCCATCTTCAAGCCTAGAATCCAGTAGGGAGAAAACAGGCTTGAAATCAAGACCTCCCACTGGAATCTAATTTTAAATTTGCAATCTGTTGTCTTGTGATTTTCGCTTCAAATTTAACTTAGGAATAAATATATTTCATCTTTCCCCCTGCAGATTTGGAGGTCTGTTTTCAAGTCACAAGAGGGTAATCATTACATTTATTTTAATAAATTTTTTAATACTTCAGGGGAGTGAAGAATGATAATAATAAGTATGACTTGCAGACATTATTACATCCCTTGTGGTTGAATTTTACATTCTCTGCCAGCAAAGGAGAAACTTTGCTCTCACAGTTAACTTTGAACTTGAGTGTGATACAAATCTGGTCACCATGGACTTGTCTTGGGGACCATTGTGCTCTTGGTTTTTTGGTGGTACTAGGAATTGAATACAGAGCCTCATACTTGCTAAGCAGCTGCTCTACCACTTGAGCCACAGCTTAGCCCCTTGTGGTGTTATTTTAAAGCCACCTCAATGCTGAACAATACCACTTAGGACTAGAACTTTTGTCACAAGTATGATGACAACTAAGACATGGCCTAAGTCACAGGAAAATTATAATAAAATGGGAAAGGGTACATAAAAGTGAATAACTATGCCATGGAGATGATTGAAGAGGGCAAATTACCTTTAAAATAAAAAGAGAGCTACTGAATCCAAGCTAGATAAAACTTCCTTTATCTTAGTTGATTTCCCCACGCCTCCCCAAACCATCTGTTTGGAGTTTGTGGTTTGTTGTAGGTGTGTGCCTAGTGCCACATTCTTACTCTTGATTGAAAAAAAAAATGACAACCAAAAAACCCTTAATGACTTAAAACTCGGTCACATGTTTTATTTATTTTTCTTTCCTTAAAAGAATGAATAACATCAAAAAATGAATAACATGTTGAGAGAAGAGAATTTAGGGAGAAAAGGCATCAATCTATCAAACTTAGATGCTCTGAAAATGCTTTCACAGGTTTTCCATGGGTGTACATGTGCAAAATATTTACTCACTAGTACATATATATTTTGGTGCAGGTCTTAGGGCTTGAACTTCAGGCCCAGGCACTGTCCCTGAGCTTTTTTTGTTTGTTTGTTTGTTCAAGGTTAGTGCTCTACTTGAGCCACAGCTCCACTTTCCACTCTTTGCTCATTAGTTACAATTAAGAAGAGCCTTATGGACTTTCTTGTCAGGGCTTGCTTCGAACTGGAATCCCTACATCTTGGTTTGCTGAGCAGCTAGAATTACAGGTGTGAACCACCTATACATGGCTTATTAATATCCTCTTTTTGGTGCTGGTCCTGGGACAATTAAGGACCTAAGTGCTTGAGGCCACAATACCACTTCATGCTTTTTCTTTTTTTTTTTTTTTGGGATCCGGTCGTGGGGCCTGAACTCTGGGCCTGGGCGCTGTCCCTCAGCTCTTCAGCTCAAGGCTAGCGCTCTACCACTTGAGCTACAGCGCCACTTCCGGCTTTTTTCTTTTTGCTTATGTGGTGCTGAGGAATCGAACCCAGGGCCTCATGCATGCAAGGCAAGTGCTCTACCACTGAGCCACCTTCCCAGCCCACTTCATGCTTTTTCTGAGTAGTTTATTAGAGATAAAAGTCTCGTGGATTTTCTGCTCTAGATGCCTTCAAACCAAGCTCCTCAGATGTCAGCTTCCTGAGTAGCTAGGATTATAAGCATGAGCCACCAGCACCTGGATTTCATTAATATTCTTAAAGGAAGTTTTAACCTACTCAAGATATGTTTCTTGAATGTGCATTTGTGTGTGTGTGTACTAGTACTAGGGCCTGAACTGGGCTTGGGTGCTTTCTGTTAGTTTTTTTTTTTGTTTGTTTGCTCAAGGCAGGTGCTCGCTACTTGAGTCTTAACTGCATTTTGAGCTTTTTGGTAGTTAATCGGAAATAAGAATCTCATGAAGTTTTCTGTTTGGGCTGATTTTCAACCAAGATCCTCAGATCTCACCCTACTGAATAGCTAGAATTACAGGAATGAGCCACTGGTACTCAGCTTGAATGTGCATCTTAAATAGAAGTATTTTCTTACTGAAGATATGAGTTTTGCTTCAGAGGTATTTGGTCTTCGTGGTAGAATCCTTCTTGTGATTATTTACTCCTGGCCAGAGAAAGCCATGCCTAGGTGACCCACTGGTTGGCCTCAGGTCATGTGGTGCTATCCTTGCTCTTCCACAAAGGGTGGAACATACATCTGTGTGCCCCATGGTACCACTGGACCCTCTGGTATCATTAAGGAATTACATATCCTAAGCCACAAAAATATTGTTATAGCCTTCTTAGCTTTAAGGAGATTCAGTTATTTCCAGACTCCTTTCTACCTTTCTCCTTTTCCTCTCAACGATCTGTGCCTATTAGGGTATTTTTCTGTGTTCTTCCTACCTAGGATTTTGACCATGAGCTTACTTTCTATTAATTGGACTGTCTTCTTATATATTATTGAGAAACATAGCATTAAAGTGATGAAAAACATAGAATACTTGTTACATCTTGGATCATACAGAACTTATTTTTTTAATTCTAGTATAAAGGCTCGCTCCATTTTCTAAACTTCATTTCTTTGTAGAGATAATTATTCTCTAAGAGTTAACATATTCCCAAAAACTTTCATAAGAAAAGGCCTTGACATTAAACACACTTTCCTACCTTTAGAAAAGTATGTATTCTATTTCTCTAGTCATGTATCATCATAGACATTCATAATGATCTGATGTCACTATTGTGAGCAGTTAAGTTTTTCATTTATTTCAGGATTGTTTACCTTGACCCAGAGAGTACAGTTGTAATAGCTGCTTTTAAAGTCTGTGTGTCACTCTGCTTCTAGAAGCAGTGTATCCTAAGAAACCTGTGATTTGGATGAAAGACAGGTGTTCATAGACACCAATGGGAACTTCGCAGTTCAAACAAGAAGGAATTACTGAGTTCAATGATGGATTCTCTTGTTTACATTTTTTGTTTTCTTCCTCCAAGGCTTTTCCCTTATTTTGGGATTATAACATCTATTGATTTTAAGAATGAAAATAGAACCTGTAAGCACTGTAGAAAAATCAAATAACACAGAATGTATTCTGTAATAGCATAGTCATCTTTAATCTTATAAGTAAAGTTGCCCCTCTACCTCCCCCCTCCCCAAAAAAAGATTGATAATTTAAACACCTGCGTGATGTGTCAGATATCACCTGTCTTTATCTTTGGAAATTCTTCTTTGTTCTTTGGAATGCTTTATGGCCATTTTGAATATTACGTGGTACGATTTCAGGTTTCCATAGAATCACCTAGAGAATATTGAATTTGTTGTTAGGGTGTTTGTAGATAAATCAACCGGACTGGATTCACATTTTGAGCTGAGCTATGTCTCATTTGGGGTCATCCTGAGGGTCGGGTTGCTCAGAATTGTTTTTGTTTCATTTTTTCTTTTTTTTAATTGATGCTGGTACACTGGCTTAAACACAGGGGGCCTGGTTGCTGTCCTTTGGCTTTTACACTCAAGGCTGGTGTTCTACCACTTAAGCCACAGCTTCAATTCTACTTTTTTATGTGGTCAATTGGACATAAGAATGTTAGGGACTTTTCTACTTGGGCTTTGAATTGAGATCTTCAGATTTCAACCTCGTGAGTAGCTAGGATTACAGGTATGAGTCACCAGTACCTGGCAGGACTGCTCAGTTTTAAGCCTTTACTCTCTTGCTTTGGGTCAGTTCCAGTGGGTCTGCGATGTGTGTGGGTTTGTAGACAGCATGGGGAATTTTTTTTTCCCTTCTCTGTTCTCTTGTTTCTAAGATTGCCACTTACTCTCTGACTTGCACAGATCATTCTCAGTTCTTCTTCTGGGCAGAACAAGAGAGTCTATCCCAAGGCTTCAGCTGCCTGTTCTGTAGCCATAGTGAGTAGAAGTTCTCTCCTTGTCTAAGGGATAAATTAGACTGATTAAAAACAAAAGTGATTGGCTGGGTGCCAATAGCTCAGCTGCTCAGGAAGCTGAGACCTGAGGATCACAGTTAAAAGCCAACCCAGGGCACCGACATCAAATACAGTGAAAACAGGGGTTATACCGTGGGGGAGGAACATACAAAGAAACAAAAAAAATCACATGGTATATTATAAATATGTTAGAAGCAATAGCAAGAAAGAAAAAAAATGTGTCCCTATCTTGGGGTTCATTTTGCTTATCTTGTGTATACACTTCTCTAATTCAGGGAGGGAAGGGAAAAAACAAAATACTTAAATAGGGATACAGGTTGACCCTTTGTAACAATGAGATTTACAAGACACTATGTTGAAAATGAACTTTACAACTTTGGCGGGTAGGGGATGGGGGAGTGGGAGGGTGTAGTTGTGGAGGTGGGAGGGAAGGGAGGGTATGGGAAAAACAAAGGAGGAAAAAA